CAGACAGAATGTTCAAGATTGAGACAAGTTTCATAATAATTGCATTCAATCTGCCAAAGATCTCCATTTGGGAATGCATATCCAATAGGATTGTCAAACTGGTTCTTAATGAAAAACTGAATTTGATCAATGTCTCCAATATATGAAAAACCATCCTTAACAAACTGAGTAACAGAAAACAAGTTCCTTCTTATGGAAGGAACATAGAGTACATTATTTAGAGTTAAAACATAACCAGATGACAACTTTAACATAATTCTACCAATAGCTTCAACTACCACTTTATTTCCATTTCCAACAAACACATTGTAGACCTCTTTACTTGTCCCCTTCTGGTTTTGAAATCCCTGCAATGAATTTGTGATGTGGATTGAACAACCAGTGTCAAACCACCATGAGTTTTGAGGAATGAAAACCATATTAGTTTCGACAGTGACAAAAACATTAAATACAGTTTTACCTTTCTTGATCAACCAAGTCTTAAAACTAGGACAGTGTTTCCTCAAATGCTCTGTGGATTGACAGTAAAAACATTTTTTAAGATGGATTGGATTCGCTCGCAGACCAGTGGAAGATGAAGCACCATTGTTCTTGACAACAACCGAGGTTGTTTTGTAAAGATTTCTTTGGACCAAAATTTGCAGCTGCTTGATTTTTGAACCCTAAGTGCTTCTTGTTACCTTTGTAGTTGTCATTTTTTAATGCAGCAGCCCCCATTTTCCCTTTTCCTTTCCCAAAATTGACAAGATTTGCTAACTCTATTCGCTCAGCCTTAGACTTCTTCATCCTTTCTTCCCCTTGACAGCAAATGGAAATGAGTTCATTGATGGTCCAAGTCTCTTTCTGTGTGTTGTAGTTCACTTTGATCTGATCACAATCACCAGACAAGGAATATAGGGCCATGTGCACCAAAAATTGATCTGTTATCCCTATCTCCAATGCATTGAGTTTGTTGGAGATGTTCACCAATTTCAGCAGGTGTTCACGAACACTGATCAATCCATCATGCTTAGTGTTAATCAGTGCAGTGAGATATGCACCTATTTCAGCTTTATCAGACCTCTTGAATTTCTCTTCAATCCTAGCCATATAATCCTTGGCTAAGGCACAACTAGGTATTCCCTCTCGAATATGTTCCTCCATAGCATTTTGCATAATGAGGAGAGACATTTGATTAGCTCTTTCCCATTTTGCAAAGGTCTCTCTTTCTTGTGCAGTACTTGAATCAGTTAGTGCAGCAGGCTGAGGAGTTTTGAAAGCTACACTGAATTCCAGCATTCCTAGATTCATCTCAATTTGGTGCTTCCATGTGTTGAAATTGTTACCATTCAACTTCTCTATAGTCACAAGATTGAGCATATTGAAGCCTGCATAAAGTATTTTTCATTTGTGAATTCATAAGTTTGTGATCAAGAAATAACACATAATTTTCTTGTCACACCAGAGTCACATAATTAGTATCACCTTTGGGCAAGATACCATCTATACATAATACAAATTCTTAAGTCTTTGCAAGCCAAGGATAAAAACACATGATCTCTTGTAAAACAACACCTTTAGGCAAGAAAATTTTACAAAACTATCATGTTCATCATCACTCACTATACATCAGTTTATAAGAAATCCCAGTAAACAATTTCTTTAGAAATATCTTTACTTGCTTGACTTGTAGACTGCTTTATTAAGTGTTTATTTTTTATACTTGAATCATAAGATTAGTTCATACACTTTGGTGTAACCAACTAACAAATCGTAATGTATCAACACTTAATACTGAACTTGAAGCCATGATCTGTTTTAGGATGTATCTTCCCTTCTCTTGTACGACTACAATGGATGTATTAGGTTTTAAATGGGGCAACCTTACTTAACTGTGAATCATCCATATTTATACCAAGAAGAGGGACCAATCCCATTCTATTTCTGATAACTGCCTTATCCCATTAATAATGCAGTTATCTTCAGTTATTATTAAGCCAACTATTCTTCATTAATTCAAACATGGCTTAATCACATTTTTCCCTCCATAATGTTTTACTTCATTCAAATATAAAACCTTAAGAAGTCTAACCATATATACAGCTCATTTACCAAGTTCAGCTGCAATCGGCAGTTTGATGAACTCACATATATGAATTCATGAATGATGAAATCACATGAATTGTTACATTTCTGACGTAGGCATCTGATATCCTTTGGCGGCACCCTTCCCCTTTTGCTAGATGTCGATCAATTAGGCTAATAGTGTTTGTTCTCTTATTAGTGAAATTTTGTCAAATTAGTCGTGTACAAAATTTCCATCCACAAAAACTAATCTAAAAATCTATCTAAAAATACAAACCTAAAAAAATTTAAAATGCAGCAATATATATATAAAGTTTACACAAAAAGGTTAAATGGTGGTGCTATCCACATAATCATTTTCACTTCTTACATACTCCTCTTAATTTCCGACAATTGGATCAAATGAACTGAAAAAGATCAATGAACAAAAATTAATAAAAGTGTGTAGTAGGTAAAAAATGATATGAATAGCAGTATTCAAATTAAAATGTAAACTTCTACACAACAAAGTTAAGAATGTGAAATTTCACACATGGGAGTTGATGATGTTGAGAGGTGGTCGTTATCCCTTTCCAATTCCGAGTTTAAAACACTTACTTGATAGTTTTCCAAAAAAAAAAGAAAAAACACTAGGAAGCTAACTAGTAATAAAATGCCAACACAGGCAGGAAGTAAACACAAACACATTTATTATAAAAAAACGTGTCAAAATTTGAAGGATGTTCATGCCTCAAGTGGTGGTCCGCTACCACATCTCAAGACTTCACTTTTTTCTTTAATTTTCGGAAATTAAGTCACGTAATGATTTAGGCGAGGGAAAGAGATCCTCCCGCTTCTCTTCCACTAAGATTACATAATTAAGTGATCCGAATCTTCCAAATTTTATCAAACGGTCCACTTATTTTGAACCTTTAAAAATTGTGATAATTTTTTACCGTTTGATAAAATTTAAAATGTCCAAATCACTTGAACTGGTAGCATTGGTGTAAGACATCTGGAGATGATCTCTTTCATTAGGTGAGTATTGGCCATAAAATGATTTCAACTAAAATAATATGTAGTTTTTCGGGTGCTTATCAAAGATTTAAAAAAGGTTTAGCGGATCATAATTAATATCAACGTTGTTTCAATTTAATTACATGTTCATTTTAAAAGTAAATATGTGTGAATTTTTGTGATTTTTTTTTAAATATATGTGAAATTTTGTCAATAAAATCTCAATAAAATTTTTTATTAAAAAAATCTCAATATAAAAATAATTTAACTTCGTCAAAACTTTGACGTGGGACATACTTCAACAGCGCGTTGGGGTTAATTTTCTGTTAAAGATGTAAGCCTTTCAAAGTGTGGTTCATACACCCATCATATAATGGAATGAATATTCGGAGAAAAGAAGTGGGAAAATATCAAATCAAATCCGAAGGCGCCAGAAGAATTATTAAACTAATGAATGATGTTATGGTGATGCTAAAACACGCAATCTAATCTAATCTCGTAATCTTATCTTAGGTTTGAAGTACAAATTAACCCCATTTATCATATATTGCAGTGAGGTGACAAGGGTTTGAAATGGTGAAATGAAACCGTCAATGGCTGGAACGTCTAAACCGTGAGAACTACTTGCACTAGTAGAAAAAAACACTTTGCGCGACGTACATAAATGCGTCGCGCAAAGCCAAAAGTCGTTGCCTAAGGGTTTGCGCGACGAAGGGTTCGTCGCGCGCTGACCGTCGCGCCAAGGCAGTGACGGTAGGGCTTGCGCGACGAACAATAACATGCGTCGCGCTAAGTACTTTGCGCGACTCACGTATGCGTCGTGCAAAGTACTTAGCATGACGTGCGTGCGCGTCGTGCAAAGTACTTAGCGCGACGTGCGTGCGCGTCGTGCAAAGTACTTAGCGCGACGTATGGCTTGCGCGACGAACAATAACATACGTCGCGCAAAATACTTTGCGCAACTCACGTATGCGTCGTCCAAAGTATTTTGCGCGACGTATACGTGAGTCGTGCAAAGTATTTTGCGCGACGTATACGTGCGTCGTGCAAAGTACTTAGCGCGACGTGCGCGCGCGTCGTGCAAAGTACTTAGCGCGACGTATACGTGTGTCGTGCAAAGTGCTTTGCACGACGCGCACGCACGTCGCGCTAAGTACTTTGCACGACGCATACCATAGGATGCACGTCGCGCAAAACCCTTTTTTTGGTTTGAGTTATTTTTTTTAAATTCTTGATCAATATTATAATTAAATTCTAAAGAATAATTAATTAACCAAACAAAAGTATTTAATTATAAAAATATATAAAATGTGCATACAAGATGTCCAAACAAAAAAAAAAACTACAAGTGAACTGGTTTAATACATCAAGCTACTGGGTATCGGCAGGGCGAGATGGGTCTGAGGTCGAAGGTGGAGCAAGATGAGGTACTGGTAGCGAGATTTGGAGGCCAGCCATCTGTATGGCTTGTACAAGTTCTTGCACCCTCCCGACACAGGTCCTCACCTCCTCGTCCTGGGCCTTCATCCGCTCATCCTGGGCCCTCAGCTGCACCTTCATCTGCTCACCCTCGGCCCTCAACTGCGTCACTTCCTCCTTCAATGCATTGACCTCTACTGTTTTCGATCTGGAAGAAGAGGCACCCGTCTCTCACGAACTCGCGCTTTCCCCATACCTCGAACAACCTTGCCACGACGACGACCAAAGTTCTGATCCAGGACATCAGTCATGATCTGAAAACCTACATCCTCAGGTAGTGTGATGTCCTCGATCGGAGTCTCCGAGGGAAGCTGCGATGTTGCTTCGTGGAGAACATCATCTCTTTTTCCACCATAGTAGCCTGTAATAATAAAGAAAAAACATATAATGTTTAATAACAAAATATAGATAATATTTGAATGATTCTTACATATAAGAATAATGATAATTACATATACTTACATGAAGTTGCTTAGTGGTCTCATTATTAGGTCGAACGTAAACTTCCTCGAACATGTCGATCTCTGGGAACATAGAACCCTCCTGAAGAAAAAAACATGAAGAAAATTTTATTAATCAATAATAATAAATAAATTGTATAAAATTTCAAAGTTAATTTACTTTTACCTCACGTCGTGCCTCAAGCCTATACGAAAAGGCTTTGAACCAGAATGGTGGAGAAGTGTCTTTGACTCCCGAGCTTTCTGGCCAGCAATAGATTTCTTCTGTTAAACACACAATATACATGCTAGTGCGACTATTTGAAATAAATTAATAAAAAAGCTTAAAAAAATAACATGTACAATAATAAATTATTATTAAAATATTATGTATATACCACAAATTTTGGTCCGTAAAATGTTTGCAGAGCCACTCCCAATCCTCTGGCCGGTCCTTCAACTCCATTGGAACATGTAGACGAGCAATCTCCGGATCATTCCATTGCTTAAAAAGCGTGTGAAATTGTTTCCATTGTTTGTATCGGGTTGCTAAGGTCCCTCTAAGTAGGCCATAGCCTCAGGGGGGCAATGATTGAGAAACTCTTCTACAACCCTGCAATGGCCTTTTTTGGACGCCACATGTATGAGAAGGAACTGATTTTCGTCACCTTTGTATGCCAATCCAGTAAATTTGTGTAACAATACGCGTACCGCCACAAAGTTACCTATATAGGCCGCAAGAGTAAGAGGAGTCATCCACTTTTGGTCCGTTGAATTGATTAGATCAGCTGAATCCATTTTGCTCAATATCGTCTCTAGGAGATCTACAGCATATGCATTTTAGAAGCAACTCTGTCAAGAATAAGAATAAGTATTTATGAATAAAGAAATAAACGAAAGGTAAATTGTCATAATGCCATATGACAAAGAGTTAGAGCATCTCCAACAGTGTAAGAAAATGATTTGGATGAGCCACATAGATAAAACGTTGCTCCTGCTCCAATGGTATGTGCAATTGAGTAGGAAAATTTTGCTCATTCCCACAAAGTAAGCAATATTATTGACTACTTCAATATTATATGCTGATGACATGAAAATGGCAAGGACAGAGCCATACTTGTATACTTCTTTCTGTTGGTTCTGGGCAGCCACCATTGAGAAACTATACGCTTAAAAGAGTGCATAACATGAGCATGGCCAACAAGAAAACTGCATTAATTTTCTTGAGTCCACCTTTTGCTATATATGTACCCCATGCCAAAATTTAAAAAGAATACTCATTACTAGCTATATGTACCAAAAACAAAAGGTACTCACGACTATACCAAAAAGAAAAAAGGTAACTGCAAATGCTTAATATTTACCCTTTTTCCTCCATATGATCGCACTACGAAGAATTAAGTTGCCGTTCGATCCTTGCCAAAAATTACCAGAATTAGCATCTACTATGCTATTTGGCGTGTTGGCTACCATTGCTTTAACGAGTTCAAGATTGGCAGTTTCAGCGGCCATGCACAAGGGAGTCTTACTGGAGTTATTTGTAGAATGCGCCGTAGATCCATCTTTGCCGACCAAAAACATAGCCACATCTTGGTGATTATTTTCCACAGCGACATGCAATGAGTGTTCCCTCTCCCGTCCTTTTCATTAAACGTATTACCTTCAGCCGTGTCTACCAAACAACAAACTGCGGATATATGGCCAGCGGATGCAGCTACATGAAGCGGAAGTTCTCCATCATCATTTTGTTTGCGGACATGCCGCGGAAAATTTAGGGTAATTAGTTGGATAAGCTGCATGTGGCCTGTATTTGCAGCAAGGTGAAGCACCGTGTTCCCACGGGTGCTTACTTTGTTTTCACTACTTAGGACCAGCGATACTATTTGATCAGGAATATTACATATAGGTATTGCACATGTGGCTCCGGCAAAACAAGTTGTGCGCAGGGCCCATATAAACTCTTGACAACGGCAGATACACTGTAAAGTTACTCCTGATTTAGACATCGTTGCATACCTGTATAGTATAGGATCCATGCGTGTGTCGCCTGCCTCGGTGTCTCCTGCAGCGTGCTCATGAGCACCCTCGCCATTGGATCATCTTGTCTTGAACTCCAGCCAACATCCTCCATTGCTATTTCACTTTTGTAAACTTGAAGAAGCCATTGATATGCTGATTAGCTACGTAGGTGCTATTTTTCCGAGGAGAAAATGTGACTCTCTTATTTTCAGCAACCATCGTTTGGTACGTCGGCTGAATAGTGTATGATTTCTGGAGTCTTGTGTCTTGTGCATTTTGAGGGGTCCTCCATGTGGAAGACTTTTTGTTGCCATGTAATGCAAGTTGTGGAATAATCATATATGAGTCTATGACAATCATAAGAAAAATCGAACAAGACAGCATGGTTTATTTATTTTTCTATTTTTGATAATTTTACTTTAATACGTGACATGAGTGACATCAACATAAGTTATAACCGGTTGCCCAATTAGGTAGACTACGGTTAGGGCATGTTTATTAGGTATTCATGTGTATATAATTATAGGAACATGATCCTCTCCGGATTTCTTCCATTCGGATTCTTTGAATTCTTCAAATATCATGTAAGTTCAACTAAAAATAGAACGTCCAGGAAAACGATTAGACAGCCTTAACGCCATCAAAATGAGAAGAATCTGCGATGGCAGTAGCGGCCTCGAAATCCTCCTCCTCGAGATCCAAGATGATGATGTTGACGGCGGGAGGGTTGAGAGGGACGAAGATGTCGAAGGAGACAATGTTATCATCGAGATCTTAGTCGAGATTGAGGTTTCAATCAATGGCTTCACGACCCAGTTCAAACTAAGGTCACGACTTTCACCTAGACAAAAAATAAATAATTTCCATTTTACATTTTATTTTTTTAATAAATTGTAAGAGACTTGTTCAACACTTGTTCCCCATGATTTCAATACATTCTAATACTTTATAATCTATATGTCATTTTATTTTGCAATTTATCCGTTAAAAGCCCATGTTTTAAAATATCTGGCCCAGAACTTTAGGAAGGAAAAGAAGGTTGTTGGGGGACTTTTAGGTCAAGGGGGACTTGGGTTTTGAGAACATCCTCTTGTCTCCCTTGGTTCGGTTTCGTACCAAGTCCCGGAATATCTCGAAATAGTTAGCTCGTTTTAGGAAATATTCAGGTTAGATCAATGACTCAAAGATAGCATGATTAAGAAAATAATGGCTTGCTTAAGTGAGACATAGTGTGGAAGCTAGAAGTTCATCAGTTTGGCATGAAAGAGCGAAAGAGTTGGCATGGTTGTATGGTGGTCTAGTTTGATAATTTGGGCTTTCTAGGTTATAAAGAGGCTTTCCTTGACTGAAAGAGTTGAAGGAAGTTTGGAAGAAAACTCTAAGGTTGCAAAAAGGTGGTTTTGTGTTTCTCTCTCTCTAATGTTTGAACTCTCTCATGCGTTATGATGTTCCCCCGCTTCTAATGTCTTCTGATACCTCTTTTATAGGTTAATGATTCCTTTCTAGGGTTCCTAAGGAATCTCTATTTGTGGCTTGGTCTTCTCTCCCCTTTCTCCTGACCTAACAGTAACATTTCCTTTTGGTGTAAGACAGCTAAACGTAGCCGCTCACATGAAGACTCCATTTTGACTCCTTCCAGAGGCGTTGCTTTCCCGGGTTAGTTTTCTACAGGCATTACTTTTGGTAATGTGTCTCTTGGCTTTCATGTGTTGGTCTTCTACGTAAGATAGGAAGGGAATGTCTGCTCTTCATCAAATGCATGTCTTGCTGGACATTCACGTGACTCTAAGGCTCAAGGTTTGGTTCCTTCCTAACTAAATTGGTTAGCTTGCTAGGGAAAGGAAGAAACTAGGCTTGCTCTCTCAAACTTACCCACATGGAATTCAAGGGTTATTGGCTTGGACTTTTAGGCTCACAAGCAACCCAAAGTCTTCCATAATCTTGACTCCACGTAGGCTCAATGAACTTCCATAACCATCCACACCACAATTCACTTGACAAACCCTGGGTATGTGACTTGGGCTTATCTTAGCATGATAAAGCTTGACGTGATAAATATGCATGAGTTTGCACGAGTGTGGTATGATTTACACAAATGTGTGGCTTAATTAACGTAGCATGGCTTGATTACGAACATAACTCCTTCTCGATTCCGCACCTTTGCATGTATTGGGGCTCGGCTTGAGGCTTGTACAACAATTGGGCCTTGAGACTTGATTGGGTTTGCATGTGACATTTTTAGGCCTAAAAAAAGTCAAATCGGACCCATTGTTTGACCATAGATGTGAACCTTAGCCAATAACCATCATCTAGTCTTCAGGATACGAGGTATATAGGGTGAGAGCCCACTAAGGAACCCCAGTAAAGTGCACTACACCCAGTACGTACTTATTTTCGGGACGGCTTAACTCAGCATAATGCAGTGCAACATCGGAAGTTAATCAAGAAGCATGTATTCCAATACAATTACCTAATTTTTAAAAGTATTAGTAGACATTATTTATATGTTATAAAATAAATTTAATTGAAATTGAAAAAATTGCCTAAGTCCCTACTTAGATGTTGGGCCCCTGCCCACCGTTTGACTAACGCCATTTAGAACCTTACCGGTTGCTGAGCTAAAAAACTATTACAAAAATGTTTTATGCATTGCAATCATTATATTCACCTGAATCATCACCAATTTTCAAATTTATCATGCGTTTTCAAATTTATCATGTGAACTTATTTATAATATTTTTTTTTCAATTACTCACACTATGTTTTGAAGATATAATATCTCTCATTTGAATGCAAAAATACCAGTCAATTTAAGGTTAAAATATTTATAAACTACATACAAATTTTCCATGTACAATATCAAATACAAATAACTTCATTTAATAGTTCATCAAAGATCAAATCCTCATTTTCAAGTGCCACACTCAGTTTCCCATTGTAGGTTCATCCAACGATCGCCCTTCGCCAAATCTCAAGCCACAACAGCCACAACATCATCCAGTGACTGATCCATCTCTGGCCTCAAGCTCATATATGATCTTACTCTTGTCCAGACATCATCGAGAAGATGTTGCCCCTTCGGCATTGGACGAATGCAGCCATTGGAAGAGAAGGCCCTTGGGAACTAGGTGTATAATTTCTCATGGACCTCAAGGAGTGTCTCGTTAACTAAATCAAACAGGAGGTGGCGATCCCAATTGCCCGATGTAACTTGGTCTTCGTAGGTTCCGGTTTCATGCAAAACAATTCTCCAATTCCTTGAACATTGTAAGATCCAGAGGTTGGTATAGTGAGTAGCATGCTCCGAGGTGATCATCGCCAATTAATGAAGCCTGACAGCTCAAGAACATATCCCATATAACTGAATGTTTAAAGTCGAGGAGTGATTGTTTAAACTCAGGATCATCCGTTTTGTCCACTACAAAGCGCGAGGAGTGATTGTTTAAACTCTTACGTTCAATTTCAGTGCTTATAGTTTTAGAGGATGCTGGTAAAGAATCTATGATGTGTCTGCCTTGTAGGTCAAGAGAAGAATATGGTGTTAGACATATTTTGAAAACATAAGAACAACAAGACATTATGATCACAAATACGATAAACCAAATTTTCGAATGAGTCTTCTACGTTCAGCAAGCGGAAGTGTCCCCGCAGTAATAGGGTTTGCTCGAAATGGAATGTATATTTTGTGACAGCATGGACCGCCTATATATAGTGATAAGACTCCCACTAATCCGGCCTATTATTGATTAGTGGGATTTTGCCAAATCATAGGATAACATTAAAGTCCTAGTTGATATATTGATTTCTTGTTTAACCAAATAAGGCATCTTGATTAATTCCAAATCTTAATTAAAATGAGATTCCTATTGTATGCCTATTTGATTGAACGATCTAGGGTTTAGAGAGATGAGAGATTGATTTAATTGTGAGGTGAGTTTGATTCACCCCATTGTGCCTTTATTTATAGTAGTAGGATAGGTAAAAACTTTTTCCTTTAGGATTACAACATTTAATAGGTAATCTACTCCTAATAGGAATATAAGATACATTCTCATATTCCCTAGGATTTACACAATCACATTCCTATTCTAAATAGGACTACAACACTCCCCCTTAAGTGTGTAAATACTCAACAAACCATCGCATCAGATCTTCAGCAGATAAGGTAGAATAGTTGATGAAGTCATCGGCACAATAGGTGATTGTGAGTCTCAAACTTATTTGAAATATGCATTTGTAGTAAAACTCACAAAACCTCGTTATGGTAAAACTCAAAGAATGGGGAAAATCCATAGACTAAAGTCTCATCAATCATATCGTATAAAAATTGGAATCGTATTTTTTAATTACTGATTTATTAGATCATTAGAGAGTTAGGTGATGTGTGATAAGGTGTTCTGATGTCAAAAGTGCAGTTGATGTTGGTTGGAACTTGGAATGTTGTTCAAAAGGGATAACAACATAGCCAACTGATATCCAATCACTTAACATTGTTCCAAATGCAATACTTGTCTCCAAAATACCACAACGATCCAAGCTCAATAGACTCATCACGGTGTGAGGCGTAATCTTTGTTCGGCAACTCAAGAAAATATCCGACTTAACGTGTCCAGTTGTGGACAATCACATATTCAATGCGAGGCAATTGTATTGTCAACACGTTTGATGTTCACATTCTAACATGATATCAGAACATATTATTCACGTGTCAAACCCAATATTAAATTTCAGGCATCTATTTTGTGGTAAACTCTAATTGTATATGGCAATACATTCCTAGTGTTTGCAAAGCAAAGTTGAAAGCCTTGACTAGTATAGTTTTTCACTTGATTTAATGAATAATTAAAGTTCTTTTTTGTATGACACTTGCAGATTTTCGAGTCGTTCAAACTCATTGGAGGTCCACGTACTCCAAATTGCCCTTGAATATTTCAATATTGCATGCATATGGTAGGCTGGAAAGGGATTTGCAGCAGCTACCCATGAAGAAGTAGCTAGAAATTAATCAATGCATGAAATATCTCTGTGGGATTAGAACTGATTAGGTCAACAGAAATATGGATGTTGACGATGTCCTTGACTTCAACTCGATGGCTGAATATTCATCTGATCCCTTTTAATACACGTATGAATCTAGAAATTAACAATCTAGTTAAGTTGTCAAATTAAAAAACTCCAAAATCATTATTTTTTTCCGAACCAAAATAACTAATTATTTGTCTAATTAAGCTTTCAAGTTTGGACTGTGTCAACCAAATAATTG